TATCTATCTATCTATCTATCTATCTATCTATCTATCTATCTATCTATCTATCTATCTATCTATCTATCTATCTATCTATCTCCCTCTTCAACAATCCATCTCTATAAAACCACAATAAAATTGCAATTAAAAAAAATCTTCACTGCAGGTACTCTAGAATTGGGCAAATAAACATTATGATTTTTTAGCTGTCCAGAGTCTTGCTGAAATGGGTGACAAACAAATTAAACAAATAAACTATTAATGAATGAAAGGCATGATTTTTTTGAACTTTCCTCCATCAACAAAGCAGTGGAGAAGTGAAAATGAAAAACAGAATAACAGGGTTGGAAGTTACATCCTGGAGGTCATCTAGTCCAACCCGCTACTCAGGCAGAAAAACCCTCTACCATTTCAGACAAATGGTTTGCAATCTCTTCTTTAAAAACCTCAGGAGTCGGCTTCATGATTTTGGGAAGCCTAGGTCAGAATGGAGTCCTCTCTTCAATTTATGGCAGGCATAATGATGACGATGATGATGATGATTGCCACTATTGTTATTATGGGATAGTTCCCCTTCCAGGCTGCTTCCTCTTTTTGTCTTCCCCCTTCCTGGCCCCCCTCAACCCTTTCTGTCCCCTTCCTCAATGTAAAAAAAAAAAAAAAAAAATCAACTTCCCAGATCAAATTTCCCTCCTTCCCACGTTTTCTCCCCAGGATCTGCTGATGTATTTGCTGCAGCTGGTCCAAGCTCTGAAATATGAAAATTTTGACGACATCAAGAGTGGGTTGGAGCCCACAAAGAAGGAAACTCAAGGATCCGTGTCGGAGAGCATGGCCGCGTCTGGAGTCACTGCGCCTGAAATAGAGAGGTAGGTGGAAGAGTTGCTGAACCTGAAGCATTTTTATAGGTAGACCCAGGGGTGAAATCAGGGGTGAAATCCAGCAGGTTCTGACCAGTTCTGGAGAACCAGTAGCAGAAATTCTGAGTATTTCAGAGAACTGGCAAGACCTGCAGTAACAGAGCCAGAACTCCACACACACCCACCAGTATTTATAGAGGGACGGCAGCTCCGATCACACTTTGCTCGCACAGGCACGAGGCCGAAGACACCAGCCTGAGGATGACGAGTGGGACCTCGTCAAAACGTCGCCAAGATACTCTCAATCTTACACGTGAAGAGACCCGAATGCAACAAGACCAGCATACCTACACCCGTGAAAATCTAGGAAAACAAATGTGTTTGTGTGTGTGTGTGTGTGTGTGTGTGTGTGCGCGCGCGCGCTGGTCTTGTTGTATTCGGGTCTTTTCCCGTGTAAGATCGAGATTGTCTTGGCAACGTTTCGGCGAGGTCTCA